AGTTTATAGAATTTTGATTTGTATCTATATAGTTTCTTAAATGTTAATGTATTAAAGAATGATGATTTGGACAACATGATGCATCAAAATAGCCTAGCTAGATAATGTTAGGACGGTAGACCAAAAAATTGGGTCAAAATCTGCTATGCCTAACCCTTCCATTGATCTTTTTAGAAATTTGTGAAGATGGCCGTAATAATAAATAAATCAGAATTTCATACCTGAAATCAGAATTTGAATGAACTTTTTTATTTTAGATTTTAAAATTTATTGGATAAAATTAAAGCAAAAACTGGAATAGCTTAGATGGTCAGACATTCAAACTCTCCTTTTGACGTTTGCTAAATATTTTTTTGCTAATTTTTTTTATCAATATTATCAATTTGTTTATTATTTTGTTTTCAAAGAAAGCAAGTGGTACTATTTCATAGCATAATCGTATATCTATATGCTGCAATGTTTCATAACATAGGTTCTATCAAAATTGAAAGTGCCTAAAAATGACATGAAAGAGAACCGTCATAAGCTGTCCATCACATGGAATAGAGATAACACAAAGCCCCTCCTTCCTAAGTTGTCCATCTCCTGAATAGAGATAACACAAAGCCCCTCCTTCGTCCTAAACTGTCCATCATCTGAAATAGTGATAACACAAAGCCCCTCCTTCGTCCTAAGCTATCCATCACCTGGAATAGAGATAACACAAAGCGCCTCTTTCTGTGCCCTCTTAATGTCATCAAATTGTTTCTCATTTTGTTTACAAAATAAAACCATGGAATAACTCATGGAAAGTGTCTAAAAATGACATGAATCATAACTTGAGATAACACAAAGTTAAGTGTTGAAATACATTAAAGCACCAAAAAGAGGTTGGAATAGTTTAGTTCATTAGAGCGTGTGGACCTTAACCACAAGGTCCAAGGTTCAACCCCTCTTTCTAGCGAGTCCTTCTTAATTGTCATCAAATTGTTTTTCATTTTGTAAACCATGGAATAACTCATTGAGAGTGTCTGAAAATGACATGAAAGAAAACAGTCCTAAACTATCCATCACCTGGAATAACTATAGTTTAAAGTGCCTAAAAATGACATGAATCACAATTGATAACACAAAGTTAAGTGTTAACACAAAGTTAAGTGTCGTATTAAGCATTAAAAAAGTGTTGGAAAAGCTCAGTTGGTTAGAGTATGTGACCCTTAATCACAAGGTCGGAGGTTCAACCCCTCCTAGCGTGCCTTCTTAACATCATCAAATTCAACTTGAGATAACACAAAGTTAAGTGCTAAAATACATTTAGCACCAAAAAGAGGCTGGAATAGCTCAGTTGGTTAGAGAGTGTGGCTGTTAACCACAAGGTCGGAGGTTCAACCCCTCCTTCTAGCGAGCCCTCTTAATTTGGTGTCAAATTGTTTTTCATTTTGTAAACCATGGAATAACTCACTGAATGTGCCTAAAAATGACATGAATCACAACTTGAGATAACACAAAGTTAAGTGTTGAAATACATTAAATACCACAAAGAGGCTGGAATAGCTCAGTTGGTTAGAGCGTGTGGCTGTTAACCACAAGGTTGGAGGTTCAACCCCTCCTTCTAGCGAGCCCTCTTAATTTGGTGTCAAATTGTTTTTCATTTTGTTAACCATGGAATAACTCACTGAAGGTGCCTAAAAATGACATGAATCACAACTTGAGATAACACAAAGTTAAGTGTTGAAATACATTAAATACTAAAAAGAGGCTGGAATAGCTCAGTTGGTTAGAGCGTGTGGCTGTTAACCACAAGGTCGGAGGTTCAACCCCTCCTTCTAGCGAGCCCTCTTAATTTGGTGTCAAATTGTTTTTAATTTTGTTAACCATGGAATAACTCACTGAAGGTGCCTAAAAATGACATGAATCACAACTTGAGATAACACAAAGTTAAGTGTTGAAATACATTAAATACTAAAAAGAGGCTGGAATAGCTCAGTTGGTTAGAGCGTGTGGCTGTTAACCACAAGGTCGGAGATTCAACCCCTCCTTTTAGCGTGCCTTCTTATTAACGTCATCAAATTGTTACTCATTTTGTGAATCACAAATGATAACAAAAAGTTAAATGCCGTATTAAGCACCAAAAAGAGGATGGAATAGCTCAGTTAGTTAGAGCGTGTGACCTTAACCACAAGGTTGGAGGTTCAACCCCTCCTTCTAGTGAGCATTCTTAATTGGTGTCAAATTGTTTTTCATTTTGTAAACCATGGAATACCTCGTTGAAAGTGTCTTTTAAAGTGCCTAAATATGACATGAATCACAACTTGAGATAACACAAAGTTAAGTGCTAAAATACATTAAGTACCAAAAAGAAATTGGAATAGATCACAACTTGAGATAACACAAAGTTAAGTGCTAAAATACATTAAGTACCAAAAAGAAATTGGAATAGATCAGTTGGTTAGAGTGTGTGGCTGTTAACCACAAGGTTGGAGTGGTCGGAGGGGCGTCTATTATTGAATTCACCCGCCCCGATAGTACCCCATTTTTGGAACGTCCAGTGCCAAAGTCACTGAATGGGTAAGTAGCCAATCCCTAAAACGGACTATGTAATGTACTTTCTGGGTTACGGGTGGGCATTTTCCCAGAGGTTTCTATTGTATCAATCTACCCTTGTTTCATTCCTGTTGAAGCATATACTCGGGGGGTGCAGGGCGGACGATTTCAAAGCGGACTCCCATTCAAGAGAAGATCGCCAAGATTTCGTGATCCGCTGCCGAACTTATTCCTTCCAATTCAACGGGCATTCTCTTCTAGCGAGCCTTCTTAATTGGTGTCAAATTGTTTTTCATTTTGTAAACCATGGAATAACTCATTGAAAGTGTCTTTTAAAGTGCCTAAATATGACATGAATCACAACTTGAGATAACACAAAGTTAAGTGCTAAAATACATTAAGTACCAAAAAGAAATTGGAATAGATCATTGTGGCGGTTAACCACAAGGTTGGAGGTTTAACTCCTCCTAGCGTGCCTTCTTATTAATGTCATCAAATTGTTACTCATTTTGTGAATCACAAATCATAACAAAGAGTTAAGTGCCGTATTAAGCACCAAAAAGAGGATGGAATGAGATAACACAAAGTTAAGTGTTGAAATACATTAAGTACCAAAAAGAGGCTGGAATAGCTCAGTTGATTAGAGCATGTGGCTATCAACCACAAGGTCGGAGGTTCAACCTCTACTAGCTAGCAACCCTTCTTAACATCATCAAACACAAAGTTAAGTGCTAAAATACATTTAGAACCAAAAATAGGTTGGAATAGCTCAGTTAGTTAGAGCGTGGCTGTTAATCACAAGGTCAAAGGTTCAAACCCTCCTTCTAGTGAGCCATCTTAATTAGTGTCAAAATTGTTTTTCATTTTGTAAACCATGGAATAACTCATTGAAAGTGTTCGAAAATGACCACAAGGTCGGAGGTTCAACCCCTCCTTCTTGGGTGCCTTCTTAATGTCATCAAATTGTTACTCATTTTGTTAAACCAAAGAATAACTTATTGAAAGTGCCTAAAAATGACATGAATCACAAATGATAACCCAAAGTTAAGTGTCGTATTAAGCACTAAAAAGAGGCTAGACCGTGAAGTTTGCAACCCCCCTCGGAATAACTCAGTTAGTTAGAGCATGTGGCTGTTAACCACAAGGTAAGAAGTTCACGATCCCTCAGCATAGCGCAGTTAGTTAGAGCGTGTGACTGTTAACCACAAGGTTAGAAGTTCCCAACCCCTCGGAATAGTTAGTACCACAAGGTCGGAAGTTCACAACCCCTCTGAGCCCTCTTAATTGTCATCAAATTGTTTTTCATTTTGTAAGCCTAAAAATGATGCTGGAATAACTTCGATTTAAAGTGCCTAAAAATGACATGAATCACAACTTGAGATAACATAAAGTTAAGTGCTGAAATTCATTAAACACCTAAAAGGGGTTGGAATAGCTCAGTTGGTTAGAACATGTGGACCTTACCACAAGGTCAGAGGTTCAACCTCTCCTTCTAGCACGCCCTCTTATTTTCTTTCATTTTGTTTTGTACCTAATAACAAAAGGTTAAGTACTGAAATACATTATCACAAGGTCAACGTGAGATAACACAAAGTTAATGCTGAAATACATTATGCACCAAAAGAGGCTGGAATAGCTCAGTTGGTTAGAGCGTGTGGCTGTTAACCACAAGGTCGGAGGTTCAACCCCTCCTTCTAGCGTCCTTTTTAACATTTTGTAAACCATAACTCATTGAATGTGCCTAAGAATGACATGAACGAAAACAGTCCTAAACTATCCATCACCTGGAATAAACTTCGGTTTGAGGTGCCTAAAGGTGACATGAAAACAGTCCTAAACTATCCATCACCTAAGGTGACATGAAAACAGTCCTAAACTATCCATCACCTGGAATAAACTTCGGTTTGAGGTGCCTAAAGGTGACATGAATTCTGTTAAAACAGACCTAAAAGTTATAGCTTGTGGTTGTTAATGTGTTGTTAATGTCATCAAATTCCGTTTCATTTTGTTTACCAAATGAAACCATGTAATAACTAACTCATTGAAAGCGCCTAAAAATGACATGAAAGAAAACCGTCTTTAGGCTGACATGAATCACAAACTTATACCTCCTAGAATGACATGAAAGAAAACCGTCTTTAGGCTCACATGAATCACAAACTTGTACCTCCTAGACATCTATAAGTTGCATGTTTAGATACATCTATAAGTTGCATGTTTAGATAACACAAAGGTTCATCCCCTCCCTCTAGATTGCCCTTTTAATGTCATCAAATTCTGTCTCATTTTGTTTACCAAATGAAACCATGTAATAACTAACTAATTGAAAGCGCCTAAAAATGACATGAAAGAAAACCGTCCTTAGGCTGATATGAATCACAACTTGTACCTCCTAGACATCTATAAGTTGCATGTTTAGATAACACAAAGTTAAGTGCTGAAATACATTTAGCACCAACGAGAGGTAGGAATAGCTCAGTAGGAGGTTTTGTTTCTCATTTTGTTTACAAAGTGAAAGTGCCTAAAAATGACATGAAAGAAAACCATCCCTAAAAATGACATGAATCACAACTTGTACCTCCTTTGCATGTAGAGATAACACAAAGTTAAGTGCTAAAATACATTTAGCATCAACTGGAATAGCTCAGTTGGTTAGTTGGTTAGAGTGTGTGGCTGTTAACAGCTTCAACCCCTCCATCTAGCGTGTCCCTCTAGTGCTATCAATTTTTTTCTTATTTTGTTTTGATATTTCTACAACAAAAGGAAACATATGTCTACAACAAAATGAAACCAAAAGCTGGAATAACTCAGTGCAGAAGTCCATACCCTAGTAAAAAGCCAAAAACCATCGACAGACTGCAGCTGGTGCGGTATGTATAGCTCGATATATATAGCTGAACCAGGATGGAGTGCATCAATAGAGAACCTGAAGCAAATGGAAGTCCGAGCAAATATTAGCTCTAATAAGAACAAAGCTCGTTAGAAAGAAAAGAAAAGAAAAAAAAAAACATTCAGATAAAAATCTCAAACACAATATAAATATACTACACAAAGATCCTTTAACTATAGTAATTGTGCTACTAATCATTAAAGATAGAACAAAGAAAATACTTTTTCTCTGAGGGAAGTTTTCCTCTTGTTTAATGATTCATATAACTGCTTTAACATGTTCTCCGAGTAGCCCAAAGCAACAATAGAGGAAAATAACTCTCTTGGCAGCACGATTCCTGAAAACATTCCACTTTCACAACTTGCATCAATTACGTTTCCACCTAAGACTGGTGCCTGAAATCTTTTATCAACTCAAACTGCAATGAAAATATCATGTGCTTAGCATTGGCAACATAACCACATATTGAATAAAAAATTTCAACACTAGGGCCTTCCTTCAGAGGGTGTAAATTTGAATTCCCTCCCCCTACATGTAATAAAACATGCTAAGACAAAGCACTAGGACATCTCTCAGACTTTGCATTGGTATTAATCGACTGATCCAGTTTCTAATATCGAGCCTATACTTATCTGCTTCTGCTGACATTAAACAAAAAGTTCCATATTGAAGAGAGATATAAGAACTGACATCACCTCCTTTTCTGGGCCAGGAAAACCAAGCAATACTGACAAGCCTTTACGCCAGCCCCTCTCATAAAGAAAAGGCACCAATCTAGTCCTGATACAATGAAAAGCTAATAAATATGAGATGAGAAACAAAGAGGAGGGAGGCTGCAAGGGAGAGGTATCAAAAAAAATTAAACCAAATACCAATAATTTCATTTTACTTAATACTACTAAAGCTAGCTAGGCCAGTATAATTCTAATTCCAACATAGAAAAATTAAAATAATTCTGAAAATATCCCAGATCTCTATAAGGCTCTGGTAGGTACATCCATATGTTCTTGTGTATATTGGATTTGCGGTCAATTTTATTGTAGCTGGTGTCCCTCGTGTACATACGAAGTTCCTAGTTTTAAACAAGAACCCCTTCAAATGTAAAGCACAAAGATCTATCACGTGGAATCCGTACCAGAAGTAATTTCTCTTGTCATAATCAAGTCTTTTGCATTTGAAAGTAAGATCTAAGTAGCATGCTAATAAGCCTCTGTTCATAATAAATAACTGATGAGAAAATTGAAATACCTAAAAATCTCCGTGACAGCAGGCATGGATTCGCCCTTGTTAGTTCCCCTGCCTATCGTCAAGTCAAAATGAGTCACTGCCAGTGAAAGACTATGTACACATGTGCCACATTCCAAATGATGTCCACCAATGGACTCCCTGTATCAAAGCGTTTAAGTAAAGATACATCAATTACGAAGACGCAATATAATAAATAAGAAAAACAAACCTAGGTACAGTACAGTTTCCAACATACACTTAACATCTCACTATCCATCAGGAATCCATAAGGAGTTAATCAAATAAACATAGAACAATTTAAACTATATCTTCTCTCTCACTACCAGAAAACAACGATCTCAAACCTAGAAGAGTTTCCTAATAAGGTTTTGTATCTCCGGGCCATACCTTCCGAAAGAAGTTTGGAATTGACATGGTTGAATCACTCAAAAACATATATAACGGTGCAATACACACCATTGGCCATTTCATTTAGCATTTATTCTGCAGGATTCATCCTCTCCGTTCTTTGCGATTCTCTCAAACACCAAGCAGCAGAGGAATGACCAACGACTTCGACGAGAGCCTAGCCAATAGATTCAGTTCTACAAATTTATTGATTGAGGAAGCAAGAGAACAGAGAATACAAACCGATGACTCGATCCTAGCTTTCATAGAAGCTGGAATCGTTGAAGCGAGAGTTTAGTGACGAAGGGATAGGGTTGAATTGAACTTGAATAAGTAGCGTCTGAAGAAACAGAATCGAGAAGGAAAATGGCACGAAGACGAACATGTGCCTGGCATCGATTGCCGCCATTGAAGCATCAAAGCTTAAAGTTGCAATGATTGTAGTTGAAATGGCATGAAAATCATTTTTAGTACTACCAGAAAATTATATTATTTTTTCTTTTCACACTATAATTTTTCGTTTATAAATAAATTCTCTTTAATGTTGTTAAACTTTGCGCCAGAATTTTGTTTTTCAACGACCTATCGTTATTCTAAATAACATAATATATTATATATATTTTTCCAAAAATTAATAATTTAAAACTTAACCCAAAAGAAAAAAAAAAAACATAATTCAAGTCTATACTAGGGAAAGATTTCACACCTTTGTTCAATCAATGTGGGACATCACAATTCACTCCTTTTAAGGTCAGCGTCCTTGATGGCACACTGCCTCGTGTCTACCTCTCTTCGGGGAACAACGAGAAGGCTGACACATCGTCAGGTGTCCGGGTCTGATACTATTTGTAACGATCCAAACCCATCACTATCAGATATTGTCCTCTTTAGACTTTCTCTTTTGGGCTTCTCCTTAAGACTTTAAAATGCGTCTATTGGGGAAGGTTCCCACACCCAGTTTTTTGTTCTCCTGACTAATGTGTGATATCACAACACTTCTAATGCAATTAATGTGATGAGTGATGTACAAATGAATCAAAACCATATTTAAATAAAAGTAACCCTCAACTATAAACATAATTAAATAAAAAAGGCTAAGTTACTCTAGAGTTACATTTATACTAATAAATTTCACATTTGTCTATATTATAAAAGAAAATAAAATTAAATGTCTTCCGTTTATAATAATTTTATGTTGAGTAATTTTGAAAATTTTATAGATCGCTCTCGTAACCCTAACCCATTAGCAGTTCAAGATAAATATTAAACTATCTAGAATGGTTTACAAATTCTAGCCAAGTACATGAAGTAGTTTGTATTTCAAGCTTAGCCCTTTCTCGTTCACATTAATCACTTTATTTGAATTCAATCTCTAACTCTAACCCACATCATTTCAGTTCAACAATGCAATACAAGTGCTTATCTAATCAAGATGATCTATGGAGATATATTCCTTACTAATAAACTTATGATCAATTCCTCAATTAGCCATACGAGACTCATTTCCAGCCATCCCTAACAATTAAAACGATCCATCCAACCATGTCCACCGAGACTCATTTGCATTATAAATGGGGTTCTCTGCAACTTGGGAAGTAGATGTTCAAAACCAGAGCTGAGTAAGTTGTGTCACTGAAACCGTGGGACTTCAATGAAAGGGCCGTTCAACCAATACAAATCCAAGGGGAGAGGTGAGAGCTTAGGTTGGGTAGAGGAAGCAAGATCAGGTGGAGCAATAAAGCAACCGTCTTCCCATGGCCATCCCTTTATCATTTAAGTGAATTCATGATGAGTTAATGAAGGCAGGTAGGCTTACTTCAAACCAATCCCTTTTTCCATCTAAGCATTAAATGACCTCACATAACATCCCTTTTGCAACCAAAACAGAATTAAGCTTACCCTTTTGTGTAAACAACATCATTTCACCAAGATTTGGGCGTTCGTTTCCAGTTATAAGTGCTTTTAACACATATAGATATTGAGAGCTTAGTATATTAAAGATCACATAGGGGCCATCCAAGAGCTTCCCCCCATTAATGGCTGCCATTCAACATACCCACCTTCCTCTTCCCCCTCCTCACCGCCTTCATAAATACATACGAACTCCCAGTAACCATTTTTCAGCTATGTTAATCAGATTTAAGAGCTTGTGATTCTATATTTGGACGTTGGCTGGGTTGCTTCATTAATTGGGGGAAGGGGTGTGCTAGGCTTGGAGTTGAGTTTTGGAAAGCCAACGCCATGCATAGGTAGTGGCAGGACGAGCCCTTTATTTCAACCATCAAACCCTGCCCCCAACTAGATTCGTCCTTGCACTTATATCTATATCCAACCCCATCCTCCATATTATATCTACCCTTTTTCCACCCTCTTCAATTCTCCAGCTGAAGAGAGAAATGAAGAGAAAATGGGAAGAACCACGAGGAGGAAGCTTCAATTCTCCAGCTGATATCGAGCTCCACCTCGAGTCTCCGTTACCTTTAGAGTGGCAACGATGCCTTGACATTCAGGTACTAAACTTGCACACTAATATTATGTGAGATCCCACGTTGGGTTGGAGAGGGGAATGAAACATTTCTTAGGTGTGGAAACCTCTCTCTAGTAGACGTGTTATAAAACTTTGAGGGGAAGTCCTAAAGAGTACAATATCTTCTAGCGGTGGGTCTGGGCTGTTACAAATGGTATCAAAGCTAGACATCGGGCAATGTGCCATTGAGAACATTAGGCCCCCAAATAGAGTGGATTGTGAGATCCCACATCGGTTGGAGAGGAAAACAAAATATTTCTATTAAGGGTGTGGAAACCTCTCCCTACTAGACTTAAAACCTTGAGGGAAAACCCCAAAGAGTACAATATCTACTAGCAGTGGGCTTAGGCTATTACAAATGATGGTATCAGAGCTAGACACCGGGCAGTGTGCCATTAAGGACGTTGGGCTCCCAAAGACGGCGGATTGTGAGATCTCACATTGGTTGGAGAGGGAACGAAACACTTTTTTATAAGTGTGTGGAAACCTCTCTCTAGTGAACGCGTTTTAAAACTTTGAGGGGAAGTTCTAACAATGACAATATCTACTAGCGGGGGCCTTGGACACATACACTTTCTCTACTTACACACTAACACAACTTTCTATATACGTACAGTCAGGGAAGATACACTTCTACAACACGAAGACTCGGAAGAAAACGTGCATGGATCCAAGGAGCAAATTGGAGCCTAGACCAGGTGGTGATCCCTTGAGCTTGGACCTTGAGCTGAATCTAAATAGCCAATCTATGAGAAATGGAGGTGAATCAAAGAAGAAGAGCGATGGGGCTATGGCTAGTTTGGGAAGGGCATGGAAACAAGGACATGGGTGTCCGCAGCAAGAGATGATAGCGAGGGTTTGCATGCAGTGTCACTTATTGGTAATGGTATTGAAGTCCTCACCGACATGCCCCAACTGCAAATTCATACACCCAATAGACCTGCAAACCCCTCCAACTACAACCTTGTTCATAGCCTCTCGCTCTACTAACAATAATCAAACCCAGTCCTTAAAAGGTTTCCCAAACCCTATTCAAAACAAAGTCTAAGTGTGTGGCTATTGATTTAGTGAATTATGAGTAGGACCAGAGTGCACTTTATGTTTTGGAATATATGTAATTATATATGAAAAATAATTAAATGTTTATGTCTGTGTTTGCAGTTGTGTGAGACCTTACTCTCTCTCTCTTAGTTCATATTTTCAAACATGTTACCTATTACACCCAATTTATAATTAATATACCATATCAAAACATGTCTATGAACAAGACAGAAAATAAAGCAGAGAGTAAGAAAGATTTCTCTTCATTAACTAAAAAAGACAGAGAATTGAGATTATATTCTTCTGTCTCTACTGTATTGAAAAATATGTAGTAATGTTGAAATTTAAAATTTTTAAAAATAATATGTTGGTATAAAAATTTGATTTATTATGATATTTTTAATTTTTTTAGTAAAAATTATATTAAAAAATGAAAATTATCTAATTAAATTTTTTAAATATATATATATATATAAATCTTCCTTTTTATCCTCACAAAAATAAATGAAAATTTTCATAGAAATAAATTAAAATTGAACTATGCCATCTACATTTTTTTTTATTCATATATATAAGTAGAAGATATTTAATTTTGTTATTGTGCAGGACATTAAGGAGGTATGTATTAATGTGAAGCTTGATCAAAGCGATTGTAATATAAATGGGGATGAACATATTTATGGTGTTTCTATACCAAAATCTTGGAAACTTGGTTGAAGAATAGTTGTGCATCTGTTCATACATGACAGTGACACATCCAGCATACAGATCAGATTAGTGACTTAATTTTTAATTTAACTCCAATTATGTTAGATTAAGGTCGTCGTTCTCTTAAATTTTTAATTTTCATTTTTACTTTGTTTAAAAAAGTATTACCTGCTTGGTGGTTAATTCTAATAAATAGATAAACTTGTGCAGCACGACATGAATTCTTCCTAATTACGAGTAGCGCTACGTGAAGTTACCTGTATTTCCTGCTCCAAGCGGTGTTCACTCTGAGCAGATCATGGAGGGAGTCGAGGCGGAATCCAGAGATGAAGCAATGAGATCCAAAACTGCCTTTCGATGTGCGAAAGCAGCGTTTCTGATTTCTTCGTTCAAATCCTTCCAGAATCGCAACCTCAGAGCATCTGTCGACGAACAAGCGAAGGTTCTCGATGAAAATTTATTTGATTTGGATTAGTAATCAACGTAAGCGATTTTGAGAAATTAAAATGTCAATTACCTTTCAGGAGAAAGAGAGGCTGAGGAAAGTTGTTGGAGATTTGAAGATCGAGTTGGCTATGGAGCGTCGGAGGAATAAGAGGATCAAGCTGTGCGGTTTGATGGAATTCGTTCTTCAGCTCTTGCTGCTTATTTCTCTCTCGAGCTTCTTCCTTTATATCGCCTTCAAATCTATCTGAACTTTGATATAGAATCAACGATCTGGCCATGGAATTTGCTTGGAACAACCCTAACCAGTTCACGAAGTGCATTACTGGATTTATCGGCTTTCATTTTTATTTGCAGTTGTAGAATAGGTTCGAATGTGCGAATTCTTGGATGAGCTCCGTGGAGTCTTAAATTTCAATGACTTCAGAATTTTTTTGGTCACTCGTTCAATGGAAATCATCCATTCATTTCAAGGATCAAAGAAAAACTTCAATGCATCGTGGAGGAGACGGGCTTCAAACAAATTGCTTTTGTTTTGTTTTGTTTTTTTTTTTTTTTTTTTTTTTTTTTTTTTTAAGAAATAATAAACTCATTTAAAACATCAATCAGAGAACAAAAAAACGAATTGCTTCGATTAAAAGTAAAAATTTCTGGTATTTCAGAGGAAAAGGTTATATATACTTCGGCAACTTTTTTAAAACACAATTATTTCTAAAAAAAATATAATGTTTAAATAAATTTAGAAACAAATTTTTAAAAGAATATAGTGTATTATAAATACTTGCGAGAAAGTTTAAACATATGTTTTAAAAGAGGTTACCAATGTTTTGATTGATTATATGTTAAAAAAAATATATATATATATTATATCTTTTAAATAATTAAAAAAAGTTTATTAATATTTTTAAATATTTATTTGAACTAACCTAAAAAAGGTATAAAGTTTTAACTTACATTAAGACTGTGAATTATTAAAATTAATTTATGATATATTCAAAATTAAATGGTAAATTTAGACCAAAAGTAAATCAAAATTTGGTGTATATGATTTTAAATGTTAGAATTATTATTTATTTAATTTTTTTTTTTTTTTTTTTTTGTGATTGGCTAAAATTCTCATAAATAATAAATAGTCAATATCATGAGCATTTATAAGAGTTTAATAAAACTATAACTATGAGATTCAAAATTTTAACTCTTAAAACTATAGTAACGAAACTCAGACTTTTTTTTTCAAACAATAACCAAATTAATAATTTAATCTATAATCATTTAAATTCAATTATTTCATACGGTTAGGTAAAAAAGATTTCTCAAATTTTTTTTTTTTTTTATGTAAGAGTTCTTGGAATAAACAAAATTGACTCATCGCTCTATTGTTAGATTGTGACACTCACTACCCACTCGACTCTCAAATTCATAGAGAAAAGTGGAGTAGAAAGAAACAGATTATGAGTGTGTCAATGGGTGAGTGTGTTCAGTTATGTCAAAAACAAATTTATGGATTACGTTTTTCTATGTCCTAATCCATTTGTGACAAACACAATTAGTTTACAGTAAAGTGGAAAACCAAGTGAAGTAAAATACGACTCACAGTAAAAGCCTAAAAGTTGCAATTTTTGAAGGGACCACCCTAAGCTACCAATAGAGGACTGTTTCCAGAGATGAGAAACATTCAAGTCCGTGTCGGTCCCTGTAAACAACCACCGTGAGGTACATAACATTCAATTGGACGAGAAAAATATGTTCATTATAAAAAAGCACACAAAGAAGAGTTGAATGAAATAAGCAGGCAACAAAGTCATCTTATATCTATCCCTCTGCCCTATTGAATAATGGACCAATTTGTGAGAGAAACAATGAATGCTCACCTTCTCATCTCTCTCTTCAAGTCCCACCACCATCCGAGCTATAAGTTCATTTTCAATGGATGAAGTACCTGAAGGGAGAGTTCGTTCTTGTAGTTTTTATTCTTTTTTAGGGTTTGAGAACATCTTGACGTGCAGAGTAAGTTTTTTAGGTAAGAATTTGTTTTGGATAACAAAGACAGCCAAATGAACATCGAAGGCTGAAGATTCTACACTACACAAGTAAGAAGAAAAATGCATTAAATTTTCTTTGAAAGAAATTTGAAACTAAGAGAATATGGTTGAATATACCTCTAATCAAATGCATAAGGATCATCTGCATAGGGATTCAGTGACCCTTCCGTAAACAAATCACCAATGTTTGAAGGCCGTGATTGATCCCCACCCTTGATTGTCTACTTGGAGAGTTGGGTTAAAACAAGTTATGCATAATTATACAATATTTAGACATAAAACAAAATTAAAAATTAGGAAAATCTTCTTCTGATATTTCATATTTCACAAAACCATCAATGAAAATACAGACATACGTACGTGTGTGTGTATATATATATAATATATATATCAGCAACCAATGCCAAATGAATTTGGCATAAATCAGCAACCAACTAATGCCAAATGCAGTACACAAATCAAGAAGAAGAAAAATGCCCAATAGGATGTGGATATAAGCCTTTTCTTTTACCTTGACAGGACCTCGGGGGGTATTTCTTCTTGGAGTTTTGTTATGTTTTCTCGGGTCCTGATAAACATGAGGAACAAATTTTACTATCGAGTAATAATTATGAGATAATCCAGTTTCTCTACATTGGCACGGTCCTATTGGTTCATTTTAGTGACCAGGTTCATACCTCAAACAGAACTGTACTTTTTGTTTTTCTTCTTTTAGTGATCGTCCTTCCATTTGTAGTTTCAACTTCATATTCATGACGAGTAACCTGACCAACCGTTAATTAAGTTTCAATACACAGGCGGATGGCGAGTGTAAAACTATATGGAAAAACTTGGAACTTCCCATAATTTCCTTGTCTCCTATCAAGATATTAATGGTTATATGCACTAATCTCTACAGTTTAGATAATGTGAAGTGCGCATCATTTTAATATACAACTTACCTTCTTATGGTGCTTCGGGATATTTGCAATACTTCCTGTGTTTATGTCCTCCACGGTCTTCAACAACTGTGATACTGGTGTTTGAGTTGCTTGCTGGTTAGGTGATTCCTGTGAGAAGATGTAAGGTACAAAAGAATTCAAAATGTAGCTGACAAACAGACTTCTTTTCTGCAATTTATCTATCAGTTGTCAGTCGCACCTCATCATTTTCTGTTCTAATCAGAGCACGCTTGCTTTTTCTGGAACCACCCGAACCTCTCATCTTGATTGATGACATGGAGTAGTCCTGCACCATGACAAGTTTATAAATTATGAAGGATAGACTAAAATAGATTACGGAAATGAAGTACTAATTGTAACCTCAATAATATGAAGTATGGGAGTAATCTAGAGATTTCGTGTTTGAATTTACGTCTTTAATATCAGGAAATAAAATAGTATGCATACAAAATTTTAAAAAAAATTAAAAAGAGCAAGAGAAAAAAAAAAAACATAATTGAGGGGTTCAATATTGACAATGGTTGATGGTAAGTTGACTCGCTCCAAGGTAAGAATTTAAGGACCAAAATATTAGAGAAACCTCCGTATTATCCAATGAAGTTCTATACAGAGAACCAGGATGCTTATTATAACAGTATTAAATTTTGAGAATGGAGAAAAATAACCAACAAGAATTAGTTTCATGTACTGTACATAATATAAAAGTTTGAAATTGATCAAAGGCACATAGAAGATGGAAGAGGTTGGTTGGCAGTATCACGTGCATGTGAACACTTGCACATGGGTCAGGAGATTACCTTCTTTGAATTCACTTCTTGGTCCTCTTGTAGCTTGTCACCCATCACTTTCCATTGCAATTGCAACAAAGCTCTCTGCCTGTCTTCCTATGACATATATATGAGTGGATTCAGACATGAGCACAATACTTGATACTTGTACCTGAGATTGTTAGTACTTTGGTTTTTTGGAGATCCAATTCCTCTTGAAGCTTCCTACATTCATCTTCGTTTTGACATCTCAAAGCTTTCATCTGAGCCTCATGTTCACTTCTCAGTGACGTCAATTTCTGGAACATCATAAATTACTGAGCTATTAATTAATGGTGCAAGGGCTGACAGAAACCAAAAATTGAATATGAATATATATATATATATATATATATATATAGATAGATATAACCTCTTTCAATTCGTTCTCAGCATGAAGTTGAGCACGCTGCAACTCGTCATTGTGTTTGGCTTTACACATTTGTTCATTTCTGGTATGCTCTTGCTGAATTTGACTCAACTACAAAATCAAAGTGTAGGATATAAAGGGACAGTACTCAGAGAGACTCAATCTCAATATTTAACCCACAAATAAACATAGATACATATAACAGTCAGTAAAATTAAGCACCGATGTGAAGCTTCTGAAATTGTTAAATGAATTATAATTACTACATAACTACAAGTTGACTTCCCTCATAAGTTGCCAAAATAGAGGTACAAGATGCTAATATTTTAACATGGAACAGAAAAAAATCTGATGCATGTCATCCATAATCTAGAATATAAGTTTTGGCAGAAGTTAGAACACATGGGAAAAAAGAAACAAAGAAAAGATTGTAAATATAATCAGATAGGCCATGTCAACTATGATTATCTTGATTAGGAAGAAAAGTTCAGCTCATTTCTTTGTAAATGTTACCAGAGCAGCATGTTCTTCCTGAATGCGAATCAGGCATTTCCTAGATTCTTCTTTCACTTCTGCTAGGCTTTGTTCACAATTTCTTTCCATCTCTTGTAAAACTTGATCTGCCTGTATGCTCGATTGAATAAGCAAGAAGTTTGATATTTTAATATGTCGCAAAATATGAGTACTAAGAGTGAACCTTTTCCTTTTCCTTGTTAACAATCTCCAATTTCTCCATTTCATACTTGTTCCGGATGTCATTGATAGCCTAATAGTTTCACTGCTGTCAGCCTAATAAAGGTAATCTAACCGCATGAAGCGAATTTACGAGAAAAAAAGGTAACATATAATACCTGATCATTTCTATGAGATATATCTTTCAAATGTCTTGATAGCTCCATCTGTTTACTCTCCAGCATTGAATCATACTGTCTTTTAGCATCGGAAAGCTTCATTTCAGCAGAAAACAGTAGAGCTTGGTTCTGTAATAGATGAGAACTTAGACTTCAAGTTAAGTTCATTCAAAAGCTAATCACGAGAATTTTTCATGAAAATGAACAATGGTAACAGGGTAATTTACAAAACCTCTTTATTTTCTTCTTCTAGCTTCTTCTCACGATCCATAGACAAAAGAATAAACTCTTCCTTTTCCTTCAAAACATTGCGAAGTTGATCTCCTTCTACCTCAAGCATTTCTGCACGTTGTTTATAATTTTTGCTCTCCTTCATCAAAGTATCTATCTCTTCTGCTTTATCGTGTAACTCTTTCTCCAATTTTTCTGCATTACATTGATTCTCAATTTCTAGTGCAGAAATCTTCTTTAACAAATCTTGCTGCAAGGAAATATAACTGAAAATTAGTAGAACAGCAGTCTTGACATCAAATTATTTAAATCTGTTGAGAAAGGTGTAGACCATTTTACTCTCAGATGATCTTGAACTTTCTGACAAAGTACCAATTTTCTCCTCTAACTTGGAAACCAATGATTCTGTCTCAGTTTTTTCAGAAACAAGAGTTTCTACTTCAGACTCCAACTTCTGAATTCTCCCTCCTGCTAAACGAGATTCTTCTGAATGCTGTGCCATTAGTGATTCCTGGATTTTCTGAAGTTCATCAACCTTTTGTTGTGATTCGACATTAATCAATTCGAGGGCATTTTTTTCTGATGTTACACAAATAAATTTTTCATGGAGGTCGTTGTATTTCTTTTGGGCCAGCTCCGAAGCAAAACCCCTTTCCAAATTGGCCAGCTTAAAGCAAGAGTCATTTAGATGGGTTAGCTGATTAAATTTCTCTTCAAAAGTTGAGTTATGACGATCAAATTCAACCAGCTGATCAATCAAAAAATGGACGAGATTCTCAAGGTTTTTGATCTCCAAGAGTGACGCATCTAATTTCTTATGAATCTCATCATTATGCATTTCCAAATCACTCTTTTCCTTCTGCAAGTCATCTCGTGAGGCTATCAAACTAATAATTTTTTCTTCTTTCGAGTTTGACTCTAATTGTGCCTCATCCAGTTTAGAGTTCAGTCCCTCTATGATCAACCTGTTCTCCACAACTGTTTCTTCAAATCTCTTGATCATAGAGTCTGCAAGAAAGTATCGTGGTAGTCCACCTTTATGAGAATAAAATTACAAAATGCTGCAAGATTCTAATTTTACTTTTCTCAATTTTTAGATCATCATGAGCTATTTTTCTTTTGTTTGTAAAACATAAACATTCATAAATTCATATCTATGCATTGCAACTAAGAATTGGTAAAATTAAAGCATTGCATATTAAAACATATCTACATTGATAAGCAAATGGAAAAATGAGACTTGGCTATTGTCGGACTACACTTCTTTGTCATCATTCCCAAAATGAAATCTTCCATATTACGATAGAAAGATTGTCATCCCAAATTACTAAGCATGCATTGTTTTATGAACATTCTACAATTTTTAGCCATAATCATTATAGTTACCTTTTTCCTCAATCAGATTTGCAGTTCTCTGCTGTTCTTCTCTGTACAATTTACAATTCTCCTCTTTCTCAATTTTGAGCTTCGCCAGCGCCTTCTCACCTGTGTTCAAAGTTCAAAAGCATTAGATAACAAGTTGTATTCCAAAAGTTACCATGATCGAAAAGAGAATTTTATGGTACATTGTGAAAATAACCAACGAAATATTGCAAGAAGTCGTGTTACTAAATTTTAAGAACTTACGATTTCTTATTGTTTCTTCACCAGATTCTACTTTTATACACAAGTCTTGCATTCTTTGGTTTAACCCATCAACAGCTGTAGAACTTGAAGATAATTTGGCTTCTAAAACCTCCTTGTCTTTCTCAGCTATAAGATATAATTAATGCAATGATTAAATTTGAAGTCATACTCTAGATGATTATTATTAACGAAAAAAGGAAGGCTTAGATTTTGAGCATCAGATTGATAACTACCATCCTGAACTTGACTTGCTAAAATCTGTAATGTTTCGGAGAGCTTATCACTCAGTGTCTTAGCCGACGAGAATTTCGTTTCCAATCCCTTCCACAACTTCTCGTCTTCTTTCTGCTTCACCTTGAGCTTGGCATTTTCATTCAAGGCATTCTGCAGTTTATCCTCTAAAGCACGTGTGTGCTCCACTGATTTCCTCAATTTCGCATTCTGTAAACTTTTCCAACTTAGAAATCAAGTACTCCGAAGAATGATCATAGGAAAACGCGTAACTGTGCCGAGAAAAATTAATTCAGACCTAATGACCTGAACTACAGAAAATAACAGACTACACGTGCATTGAAATTAAAGAGGAGAAGGTTATGGTCTTATCGATCAATTTCAATGACCATATACAGTTTAATGAAGCGCGCAACACATAGAGAACGGAGCTTCATACCGCCATATCCAGATCAGTCTTCAAAGAAGCCTGATCTTTCATCATCCTCTCTGCATAATATGGACAACACGATCAACATAAAGTTTCATTTCTTACAAAAGAACGATTAATGCTAAACTTTCCGATTAGAACCTGCAGCAATCTTCAAATTGACAAAACGTCCCGACGAGGCGGGTTCTGGAACGGAACGCGAAGAGGAGAACGTTTTCGCAGTTCCTTGTACCAAACCAGACAGTGAGTTCAACTGGTTTAACCTCTTCACGCTTGGAAATCCGAGCTTCTCCATTGTTAAATCGAAAGACAACGACGGAGAAAAAACCTAGTAGCTCTTTTTACATCATTCTCGAGCCCGCGGATATTGGCATATCATAGTGTGTGACTGAAGTGAATTGGGCGCCAAGAGAATCGAAGTTCGACTAATTTATAGCGTTCGACATCCCCATGCCACGTCAGCCCAGATGCGAGCTATAATTCAAATAAATTTGGTGATTAAAATTAAAAAGTGAAATGCATACCCAATTACTTAAGACCCCAAACTTAATAAATTTTATATTTTATGTTCTTTAAAATTAAGCCTATAAATACTCTTCCACCTGTCACTTTATTTATATTTTTATCTGTTTATATATATATATATATATTCAAATATTTAGATATTCGAATAAACCAAGTTAGTATGAAAAAACCAAGAGAGCCGATTGTCTCCTCAACCGTCTCTTTATGCCAAAGATCTATGACAAAACGATGTTAATGAGCAAGGCCCAATCTCGTTCATTACATCACTATTAAAAAAAGTTTCATTATTGCTCATACATGCTACCTGCAAAAGAGAAAGCCCTTTTAACTATTGGCCAACACGATGTAATTGAAAGAGAACTCGTCTTACTCTTTCATCAGCAAATACTACTTCGTTCAAAAGGGAACCACTCCTATTGACTTCTATGTTCTTAATAAAGATAAATTTATTGTAGAAAAATGACCCAAAACACAAACTGAAATTTTAAAAAATAAAAAATGACTAAATAGTTATTGATACAAACCTGAACATACGACATTCTTTTGGTCTCCCTTACATAAATCTCCTCACCTCGATCTTTTTTTCTTTTTCTTTTTTGCATTTTTCAAATTAGTTAGATGTTCTTGTATACATCATATTTCAGTTCCACGACTATCACACTTGGTATACAAACATGGTCTCTTGATAATGCAACCACCAACCAAAGGCAAGGAAGGCACTGCAAACACCATGTCAGACCATGAAGCTCTCAATTATTAGACGCAGTTTTAGATACAAGGAAAACTAGAACAGAAAGGCCTTAGTTGAACATCTCAAAATTTCATACTATCAGCTAATAACATATATTATAAATGCCAAGAATCATAAACCCAAAAGGAAAAACTCAGGCACAAGCCCTTCAACACTCTGATATCCGAGTGACATTTGATCTACAACCACTAAAAGAAGTGCAGAGTGAAGATGAAAAATGGACAAGGCAGGTCCTTAAATGGAGCAACCGTTCCCTAGTTCAAACCTGCCGTCGTCAAAAAAGCCAGTTCAACCAAACATTACTACAGAGATCTCAGTCCAGTTTCACTCTGTCCAAATCATTAATCATCCCCTCGAGCTGTCAGAAAGAAGGAGAAACATGAGCATGATTATCATTTCCTCCCGATATTAAAGTGTAGAGATGCAAATGAAAAGAAAATTTTACATACTTTGACAATTTGCCGCAAGAAGAAATCTCCATAGCGATTTACAGGCTTCGATTCGACAACGTGAATTACGTCCTGCAGTGAGATTAAGTAATTTTTTAACATACTTGCATAAATGAATTTTCTTTTGTAGCATCTAAGTAATATATATTCCGAACTCAAAATGCTTTCGTGTGATATCCCACATTGGTTGGGGAGAAGAACAAAACGCCCTTTATAAGGGTGTGAAAACCTTTCCCTAGTATACGCGTTTTAAAGCCTTGAGGGGAAGCCCGAAAGGGAAAGCCTAAAGAAGATAATATCTGCTAACGGTGGGGTTGTACGGTTACATTTTGTAAACCAAAGAGGGGGGTAATAGAAGAAAAGTAGACGTACATCATCAATGTAAAAATCCACATCTGCATTGGACATAATTTTTCCAACACTGTCAACGGCATGGGTTTTATGCTTGTATGTCAACAATATCGTCCTGTAAATATAACAAAAACAAATTACCACCAATTAATTAATCGTAAAAACTATGTAGAAGCTCATAAAAATGTGAAGATATATCCTAAAGTCTTCTATTTCCAACCTTAGAGTCGATTCATCCATTTCCATGTAAATGGCAAGCTGCCCAAGGGAGATGGTGGAGTACACTTTCAAGAAGGTGCGGATGCCAGATAGAAATTGTTGTTGCTTTACTTCAAAAAGAAATAGTTTCAATTGAAGCCTATAGGCATCCTGGAAAAAGATAAGGAGAAGTGAATAAAATCTCTGAAAGAGATAGCCAACACATGCAACACAGACACGCACAAAAAGGGTTTGACATGGAAACAAGCATGACTAGATTTTGTGAAGAAATGATGAAATCAAAGTCATCAACCTTAATCTATAACTCCAATTTGCTCAAAACAAAACTAGAGTAACATGCTCTTAATAAAATAAATGTTAGTCTTAGAGATATTAAAAATCCTCTTGAAATGGCGTTATTTAGAAACTATGAAGAATACTCTAGTGAAATAGATAAAGAATCAGATGAACTATGAATTGTAGAATTCCTATCATGTAAGGAACTGTTAGGCGAAAAGGCCGTTTGAACCGGATACTCCCAGACTATGTGTTTGTTTGTTCATTCATTTTGTTTGGAAACTATTGTGAAAGAATGAACTGCAAGGCATAAGGCCAACAAAACTATACGACTAGGCAAAAGTTCATCTCCATTAGGTAACAACGATAGCAATACCCAAATAACCAAAAAAAAAAAATAAAGAAAACTCAATTCCAGACACTGTTATCCTTAATCTCTAAATCTACTCTTCATAATTTGGACTGATTAAGCAGGGCAAGTCCAGGCCACTCATTCACCTTATTTCACTATTTTGTATGGTCTCGTCATACAATACTAAATTTTAATCCGCTCATTCTCCTCTTCATATTCATTTCCAAATAGATGCTATTTTAATAATAAAGATCTAAACCTTACCTGGTTGTAGTTTGCTAGAGGCTCCTCAAAACTAGGAGCAGATGGAGTAATGAACTTCGGACAAGCATATGAGAAAAGTTCATCATAGATGGCAAAAGCTTCTTCATCATATCTCTGCATCCTCATCATCTTTTCACCATACTTTTCTCGCAACTGAGAGTTCACAGTTTCATCAATAAGCTTCACTTGTGGGCAAAGCGAAACACATATTGCCAACAGAGCATACATCTGCTCGTTCTTCTTCAGAATCTGCTCATACTGAGGAGATTTTTGATGATATTGCTTGGTTTTATAAATATACAAGAGAATTCTGTTAAATTCATGAATGGCATCGACGTACCTGAAAATAAGGGGAAATGAAATTTATTTCGAACTTGTCGTTAAGTGAGAAGTGAAGAAAGAAGACTAAGGCCCTAAATACAGCACCCTATAAATTCCTATAAAGACGAAAGATTTAACATTCAACTTTGCAAGCATTTCAATTCTACTTGACCTTCCATTTTCTTTTATATATTTATAAGAAACAAAAGAAAAGAAATATATATTTAGGAAAGGATCATACAAAAGGGGGGATGAGATATCCCCAAAAAGTAAGAGGGTTACAGAAAGGACTGCCAATTGACCTAAATAAGAACCAAATCATATTATAAATCATCTAGAGAGAGAACACCAGACAAGAGAAAAGGAATCTAATGGACTCCATATAACATAATACCTGCGCAACATCAGGTTGGCAAACCCATAATGATATATAGTTGTAATATGACTTCCAATCACACTAGTGAAAACACCTTGCTGGGTTATGTCAATTGGGAGTAAGCACTTCAAACCAGTGTGATAATCACCTAACAGGCAATGAACCCGAAGCAATCCAACCATGCTGAAATATCCCAACACCTTCAAAACATTACTACTCCCACCACTATAGTCATACCCATCATTAAGTGTAAATTGTTCAAGACCTTTCTCCTCCTCAAGAATATGAATGATTGATGATTTCTCCACAAATGCTTGCAAATAGTTGAGCACACCATATACATTCCAAGCCTGGAAATAAGCAACCACTGAAGTTAAGCTCCTGGACCTTGGATATAGATAGACCATAAAAACCATTAAGACTAAGAGAACTTGACTGCAAGAACATGGGCGTATGAAGGATAAGCGCAGATTCACCCAAACATGGTTATCATATTTGTAACAGATATCTGACCTAGTGTACACAAACTCCATTAGAAGATATGAAAAACAAAAGAACACTTTCCACATCTCATAAGTGTTAAAAGATTGTCATTCGAAGTCTAGACACCATAAGCTTTCAAGGCTATTCCAGCTATTTTAACCTCCTTGGGGACGGTACGGCTTCAAATCCAAGACCAATATACTATGAATTTGATAAAACTAAATACACGCTAATTCAGATAGAGCCATGAGAAGGCCAAGAACTAATACTGTTTTTTAACCTTTGGAGTTCATTTCCTTGTCCAATTGCAGTCAGAGTAACGCGCAGCATGCATATTTTCATATAAAAAAGAATAAACGAATGAATCGTAGCAACCTGATCGTACTGCCTCAGAAGCGAAATTTCCTGCTCGGTCTTGTTCTTCATCTTAGCCCGGTACTGGCAGAAGCTCTGGAACTGATAAACAAACTCATCCACCATATCCCATAGCCACTGGTTAGGCAATTGCATATTCACGATTCCGTGCAAAACCACCTGAAATAGGCTACAATAGTTATCCCATGAGTCAATCCTCTGCTTCAAAGTTGGCGACAGTCTCGCATAAAGATGGCGAAACCACATCTCACGGTAAAGCAAGCAGAAGACATGATCATTATCAACAAAATGAGCCACAGCATCTACTGACGGCCACGGTGTATCCTTGAATAGGCGGTCCGATAGCGTCTGGAATGAAGTTTCATACATTTGATGTGTTTCGTATACATTCTTCTCACGGATATGGCGGTATAGATGAACGACAAAGGATTTGACGGAATCTGGTACGAAATTAGGGTCGTAGCCAATATCTTGGCCAGCCGGAGAAGGCACCGGCGCGTGACGGGGGTCGTCGTAGTTGGCCCGTGAGTCATCATAATCGTATGTGGCCATGATGACTGAATTCAGCTAGGTCAACTGAAATTAGGGTTTTAGTACAGAGTTGCAGAACTGGGAAGAAGATGGTAGTTAAAATTTTAAGAATTATGAACCTTAGGATTGAACTGTTTGGGCTTAAGCCCATTAAGGGTAATTCCGTTGGCGTAAATAACAT